GCTGCCGGTTGGTCCCGCAGCACCGCTCCTTGGCGCTACTGGACCAACCCGGCAGCACCCCAGCAGTCTCTGTTTGCAGCAGAGAGGGCTGGTTGCCACAAACAGAGACTGCTGGACTCAGTGCGTGCTGGGACCAAGCAGTCCCAGCCCATGCTGGGGTCCAGGATGCTGCATCTCTGAATTTTAAATGTAGTGGCACAAGGGAGCAAGGTACCCAAATCCCACTGAAATTTAGCAAGAGTTAGGTACCTGGCATCTAAGCTCCTTTAAAAGCCCACCTTACTTCCCTAATTGCACAAGATATTTAGGATCAGATTGTGATAGATGTGCAGCTGCATAATGCTTTATGTTGTGCATGTGAGCTCACCAATGGATTTTGCTTAAGTCCGATAGCAAATTATTCAAGACAGCTCCATGGTCTTAGCAGGACAGAACCTAACGAACCATACAGGACACCCCATCCTTTATAGGATTTTCCTTCCATGCAAGTTTATGTATTTTGTCTTGTCAGGCCTTAATCAGTCACTCAGCATCACAATCAGTTTTTCTGTGACATATGTTTATCTGGAGGTTGTTCTCGCAGTGTCCCACACCCCCACCCCCCCCCCCCCCCCCCCCCCCCTTTTCTTCTGGCAAAACTTATCAGTTCCCTATCAAGGGATGCTTGTCACTAACTTCAGGGTTTGTCAGTCTGCCCCAATAGTGTGCTTTAGCTTAGTTGATAATTATTTGGTGCTTCTGAGTCTCCAGCCCCTCCTCTGACTATTTGAGCATGCAGTGGCCTTCATACTTACCTCTCTTAAAACATTCTCTCTCTCTCATTTACACAAAGAATACATTTACACAGTTGCAGCCTGTGACAAAAGGGTACGTCTAGTCACTTTAACAAAGTTAAAGTCTTTCAAGATTAAACTTCTTTCTATCTATTACAAGGCCTTGCCAAATATTAACATTCATATGTATTACAATATTGCATCCCTTCGCTTTAACATCAGAACATGCTGTCATCAAACAGAGCTGAAGCTAAGTTGATAAAGCTTCCTGGCCTGTCTGAGGCCTACATCTTGTGTTTAAGTTTAATCCAAACCTTTTGCTATAACATACGTTCATTATAACTAACTACCTTATTACTTATACAATTACAAGCCTACAGTAAGGGCCCGCCAGCTCTTACTGTATTTAAAATGCAGAGCAGCAGTGTGGGTGGCTCCCAGAGCTGGCATGAGCTGGGACTGCTTGGTCCTGGCTCGAGCCAGCTCCTGGAGCTACCCTTGCTCTGGCTGTACAGAGCAGCCCTTATTGTCTAATGGTGTAGTCAATACAAATCAGAGAACCGCAATTTAACATCCTTACCCCGGGCCCGACTGAAGCACTGGGAAGAGAGGGGCAAGCTCTCGTGTTTGGGAAGAAGCAGAGCCAGGACTAGGGTAGTGTTGCCAGGTGTCAGGTTTCTACCAGACAGTCTGGTATTTGCACCATCTGTCCGGTAGAAAAATTCAGAAAATACTGGACATGTGCAATGTCCAGTATTTTCTGAATTCCTGGATGGGCGCCAGATGGAAGCCTGGCAGGGGTGGGGGAGTGACTGGGAGGCGGGGCCACTATTGGCGCTAGGAGCCTGTGGTCGCGTGCAAAAGCCGGGGGGGAAGGCAGGGGCTGGGACTCCCAGGCACTCCCCT